AAGAGATGATGTGGCTGCTCCTAATTAAGGGGTTTAGTAGGTTTTATCAAGAAACAGTACAAAATCATGAAGAAACCCCACTGGGCAAAGCGCAAAGCACAAAGCCTGAGGAACATTGGGAAGCCAAGGTGACTCCTTTCTACTACCTTCAAAGTGCTTTGCTGGTTACAGTGTAGTAATAATAGCACTTCACAGACGGATTGTGCTCCTCCGTGATGTCCTGTGTGGGAAGAAGGGAAAATTTAGAGATGCAAGGCTGGTGCCTGGCCCCTGCTTCAGCAGAAGCCTGACCCTGAAGAACTGCTGTGCTGGCCAAGGCCGGAGTAGGGACCATCTCTGCTTTCCTTACGGAGGCTGAAAGGTGAACTATTAGAAGAACAAAAATGGCAGCTTTTAAAGAGCTGGCAACCCAGCTGTTTGAAAATACCCTAATAAAGACAAGATAAGAGCTTGAGCCTATCCCTTTTGTCTCTACATATTGTAAATTCCAGTACCCTGCCATAACAGAGGATTTAGAAAACTATTTCAGCAGGCCTCATTCAAGAATTATCTGTGGAAGGATTGTCTAAGATGTCTGTCTCACATACTTAGAAAACCTTAAGAGGTCTTTATGGTAGAAACCTTGAGCCATCCAACACTCTGGGACTGCCACTCAATTACGCAGAGGTAGACCTAGAAAAAAACAACAGAAGTGTGTAAGTTTTTGCATTTCTGTGACTGCAGAAGACTAGGGAGTCCAATAACCCTAACAACATGTCAGTTTTAAGAAACTATTCAGTGCTTTCCATGTCTGTTCCTCCTAACCCTATTCTACAAAAGCGGGAATAAGAGTTTTTTTTCAGGTGGAACCGCCTGCATAAAGGCAATTTTTAACATGTGGGCTGAAGCAATAGTAAAATACGGTATTCTGCATAACTGCAATGCTTCAGAGCATTGTTCATTAGCAGAAATGCCGCCTTGCTTACCTGCCCTGGCCAGGAGCAGCCTGACCTCGGGTGCAGCGCCGCACGCACCGTTATGCGCTCCCCGGCCGCGGCAGCCCAGCCTCGCAGAGCGGGCACCACCACCGCCACCGTCAGCTGGGTGGCCTTAATCGCTTCGCGTGAGTTTTATGGGGACCCTGATGGGCTTTCTGCAGCCATTCGTCAGCGGTCCAGGAACGCCTTTTTTTCAGGAAGCGCGTGGGAGTGTAGGTACATGTTCCCCGAGGACCTTGAAAAGGGGGCATAAATCCTAGGGCAAGAGCTGTGCACCTAACTGCCTGCCCACAGATTTCAGAGCGATGTACACCCGCGTTTGTTCAGACGGTTACACTAACATTCAACATTTCCTTATTGAAACTAGCGTAAATGCCTCCTATTCTAACGCCCCTTTTTACTTAGCCTTTCCTCAGGCAGATTCCCAAAGAGCAAAAAAAGCCTAAGGAAAGACTTCAGGATCTGACTCACGGATTTTATTTTCTTTCATAGCAGCGAGAGACAGTGGTTTTCTTTCTGCTGAAAGAATCTGAAAAACAAAGCGTATCTACAAAAAGTATTTCTTCTGCAGCCGTCATTTCCTGGGCACATTAGGCCTGTTACATTTCTACTGATCAGTTGTTCAGCTTCAGGAAACAAAACAGCTCTCAGCCCCTCTGCTAAAGTTTGCTAGGTTTGCATCATAACCGGTCATATAACCCTAACTGCAGTGTCTTGGATTTTCACTGCATCCTTCTTAAACAGGGAGGGGATGCCAGGTACATAAATCTTGCTGTGCTTAATTTCGCGTGCCAAATTATTTTTACAGAACGTAGCCAGCATTTATCCCCACTGCTGTAGCAGCTTCAGTCTCAGTTACTCGCTTATTCAAGTCATAACACTGAATGTCACCGTAAGCCATGGGAAGCAATACCCTGTGTAATAACGGAGCAAAATAGCTTAAGATACTAACTATCCCACTGAGCGACGTAGACCTCTCTGAAAAAGGTTGAGCCAATGCGTCACGTTCTGCATGAATCCCTGCAGCAATCATCCCTGTAGCCCCATGAGAAGACCCCAGACTGCTTTTCAAGGGCTCTGCAACTAGAAACAAAACTCACAGTACAACTACCACCAGCTAGCCTGTCGGTTACCCATCCTGCCATCTCCAAGGAGGTCCTTCCCTCTACCTTGGCATCATCTGGTACTTGCAGACCCCCAAAGCAGCACGCCAGGAGCAGGGACCTGTGCCAGATCCGCCTGCGGCCGTGGGCTGCGTGTCCAGCGTTGACTGGTCGGTGCACCAGACGCTTAGCACGTCCAGCCGGAGCAAGCAAGGACAGGGATGAAGCCCTGGGGAGTTTTAGACCAGCTGCAGGACTGCTGTCAGTCCTGCCCACTGAGAAGGTAAAACCTTCAGCACGGGTGCGGGCTCCATGCAGAACGTGCAGGTCCTCACCGCGCTTTCCTTAACCTTGACAAATGCTTACAGCAGTGTCTTCTCATATAAACTCGTCCTGGAGACCGGCCTTTGACTTCAGTTCCTAAAAACAAAATGGATTGGATAGATCCATACTGAAAGGAATCTTTAAGAAAATGTCTCTTGATCTGTTTTCAGCAACCAGCTGAAAAACTTCTGCGTTGGCTAACATCACAGCGAGCAGAGAGCAGATGTTGGACATGAACGCGCTTTTTCTTAGATACACTAAGACAGAGTAGTAGCCCTGTGCCTCCCCTAGCATCTGTGTTTTATGCCACGCTGTGACACAATGCACTTAAAAGCTTTACTCCTCATCTATCATCAGTTAAAATGTTTGTAATAAGGTGTTTGACCACACATTGAAGATTTGGCCGTTAAAGATGCCCACAAACCTGTTCAAGGCAAAACAAACAAAAATCTGTTTAGGGAAGAGAGAATTATATCAGCTTGCAGGTGCCGCAACTATACGTAATTCTCATCTCAGGAAAATATAATGATCATCATGACAGAATTACTTTTTTAAAGAGAGAACTAAGCTTGGTCAGAACATGCCAGGTTAAGGGAAAAGGACTGAGACAGATGCTGCAAAGTGCTGCTATTTGCTTCAAGTTATAAAACAACTCGGACTTTCTCTCGTCCTCATTTTCCTCCTTTTCACAGATCAAGGTCAGGACTTCAGTTACAGTTGCCACTGAAGTTTTTATCCTGTGGAGACAAACTCTAGGAAAGGGGTTGTGCTTGGCAATGACTATTTCATTAGCCATGAATTGAAGCAGCTGGGGAATACTTTGAGAAAGGACATCCCAAGGTTAAAGTGAAGGAAATGATCCTTCCTGGAGCTACTTCACCTGCTGTCAAGCCTTGCATCTTTCCCGTGATTAAACTGGTGCACAGAGCAATAGCAGGTCTCCCCGTGACTGCTTCCATCTGTGCAATTATGTTGGGGTTGCTACTCTACAGGCTGCAGCTGTCCTCAAGTTTTCTCTCGCATATTCATTTGTCAAACTGATAGTTTTCCACCTGATGGGTCCCTTGGCAGAGGAAGCTTTGTGAGAGTGATTCTTTGAATACTTGTCCTAAAAGAGCCATTTCTGACACTAGCTGGGAGGAAGACACAGGCTAATAACTCTTCCTCCCCTCTCTTCACCAGTGGTGGAGACTTCCCATACAATGTCCTAGCACTTCCTTCCCAAAGCATCATTTTGCATTTAACTTTATGAGCATCTAAATCAAAGCTCTGGTCTGAGCCACCCTTGAGAAAAAAAGCCTTCTCATAGGAGCCTTGTCTTCTGACTTAGGTGCATGAGATTGCACAGCATGAATGCCCCCTCAGCTATGTACCTGTGCTTCAGCTGGTGCTGGGAGAGCTGCTCCACCATAATTTAAGTTACAGAAGCAGCAGCTGATGGGAATTATACCCCCCGGTCCAGGCTTTAGCGATGGTCACTCAGGTCCTTTTTGAGTTGGGCTCATCTTTCTTTGAAGCGTTGAATCAGTTTATTTACAAATGAAGATGCAGGACGGCCACTGGTCCGTAGTCATGAAAAGAGTATATACTTAGGGGAAAAAAATGGAATAGGCAAAAAAGAAAATCTGTTGTGCTTACCTGAAGGAAATAGCTCATCTTCCAGGCAGGACATTTGGACAATGGTCTGATACACTAACGGTGTAGAGTTGTTGGGAGAGCTTGTCTATGTATGCTGTCTTCTTCAGTTAGTTTAACAATGTAAGTGAAAATCCCATCATGAAATCATTCATAGGTCTCTTTATGGGAAACTTTGATATTTCCTTCTTTGTTCTTTTTCTGCTCTAGAAGACTAGCAGCATGTTGACAGCCTTCAGCAATTCATCCCAAAGATCCTACTTCTAATAAATATTATCACTATACCAAGCCCAAATTTTGACGAGAGCCCTCATTGTGCAAGCCGCTCCACATGCACTGGAAAGGTTTGTCCTATCCCCATCCCCAGGAGCCTCTGGCAGATGAACTGGGGGCGTGTGGGCCACGTGTCGGGGTGGAAAGAGGCAGTGACTTTGCTGTTAGCAGCTCCATGGCAGGGACCGAATGTCAGTCATGGCAACCCCGCTCAGGCACCTGAGCATGCCTCGGGCAGCCAGCCTCCTCCTGCCTCTGCAGCTTCATGTCTACTCCCGCCACCATTAGTGGTCTCCAAAATATTCCAGAGCTGTTCCGTATGCAGAGAACAAATAGGACTGGACTCTAGCCTTTAGTTTACAATCTTCCCATCAAATGTGACACAGACAATAAAGTTTGTTTCAAAGTCCTGATGAATATATGCACTTGCTCTCTGTCTTTCTCTTCAAGTTGAGGAGATATGCACGAGGAAGTGTCCCCTCATCTGTTCTTTTTGGTGATAGAATGAATGAAAGTGTGTATGAAAGCATATAATCAGAGAGTTAAAGATCTTGGGAACTCCAAATACCCCAAAAAACAGAATAAGAAATTACAGTGCAAATCTCAATGAGAACAAATCAATTTTTCTCCTCCCTCAGTAAACAGTTG